AAGCATGGCTCCTACAGCAATGTGCTTGGTTCATTTCTCTCAGCAACAAAGCGTCGCAAGGTCTCTTGTGATAAGCCCCGCCCATTGCCCGAGTCTTTTGTATGCTATTTTTACTCGATGCTACCCTACTCCGTGATAGCCTAGTTGACTAAACTGCCCCATATTTTTGAGTAGGTGCGGGCAACGGGCGATCGGGAGTTCGATACCCGACGATGGGTGTTACTTTTTAATGGTTGTATTGAATGTTTTAGACTAATCATCAAAAAATAATTAATAGTAGATGATAAATGTACGAACATTTTCTCGTGAGTTAATATGTTAAACAAAAATACTGGAATATACCTCCTTCATATAATCAGCCACATTTTCCCCAAATTAATGACGTTATTTTCTTTTTTCAATAAAGTTAATTTGCATTCAACGTTCGTAAGTTAAGCAAAAAGTACCCATTGATACAAATAGAAAGACATGAAAATAGTATGTCGAACATTTCAGTTGTTTTTTTTTTTTATTTATTTTTTGTTTTTTTGTTTTTTCAATACAACAAATTGACTGGGACTAGAATCATTGTATCTCCGAAGACAAAAGCTAAGTTTTTTGATACAGAAACATTAAAATATTCATCCTTTATATAATCAGGGAGATGTTGACCCAAATATTGATGTATATTTTCTCTGTTCGCCCAAATTAATGATGGTATTTTCTTTTTTCAATAAAATTAATTTACATTCCACGTTCTTAAAGTAATATTTTCTCCAAAATTCAGCAAAAAATAACAATTTATACCTACGCAAAAAGTAAATAAATAAATAAACAAATAAATAAATAAATAAAGCAATGACATGAAAGTAGTATAGGTAACTGTACACATCTAACATTTCAGTTACATCTATTTGAATGAAAAAAATGGCAACTTAGGAAGCACATAGGTCACTTATGATGCGTATTCGGGCATATGCGTAGAGTAAAAATATCATACTTTACGCCGAAAAAACGAAACTGAAAGTAAAATGCGTTAACTTCCAAAAACCATACATAATCCAACGAAAATAAATAATTGGTAAATAACAGCTTTCTTGTATGCAAAGAAAAAAAATTAAAAATGTTAAAAAAGAGATGTCGACACAAAATTACATAGCCCCTTCAATTCTGAAGATACTACAAACGAACTGTACCTTAACATTTTCATATCCCAGAAGCAAAAGTTCCCATGACGAATATTGCTATCGCTAGCGATTGCAAAAACCAACTTGTTGTAATTTCAAGTCGATCAAGTCGATTGAAATACTCTGGGTCGTAAAATACAGCAAATCTCCTAGAAGTTATTTGTATACTGTTGGTTACTGTGTCCTACAGCTTAAATAACACACACGATTAGCAGACATTGAAAGGTGCTAGAAATGATCACAAAAAAGTTAAATGTGAGGTATCTAACTATAATGAGAGTAGTCAGTCTTCACATGAGTATTCAATTAATTTTTTGTGCACTTTTTTGCCTCTGTGAACAAACAAATATTGGAATGTCTCCACATGTTTTTGAGCTGGCTAGCTTCAACATTTTGGCATCAACACAGTTTATATCCTCAAATGAACTTAAACAAGTTCCCCCGTTTGGATTCGTTCGTAGATAACGTCATGCACGTTATCAAACTTTACAGGACACTGTCCCTCAAATTTATAATTTTGATTCTAAAGTCTCCAAAACCCGTGCTGATCATGCAAAATATATGAAGAAACTAAATTATTTGTAGATATTCTAAAATTTAACAAAACACGTTGTCTCTCTAATTTTGTAGAGCGCCTTTGATCTTACTGTGGAATTACTATCCGCATAATTAATCGTAGATATTTTCCCCCTCTTGGTTTTGCCTGTGAAAAACGTGTAACCCGGTGATTTGAATGCTCACATAAAAATCTAAATCATTTTTCTTGGTGCTCGGTGCTTAAAAAAAGAATAGTGCGCTGACTGCCGGGGATTATCAACGGGCGCTTATACATTCAAATTTAAACCATTAAGAGCTGCAAGAGGCTGATATTGAACGAACGTGCAACTACCTCTACTGCCGTGCTGAGGAAAAACGCCGTTTGAACATTCGAGAGTTGCCAAATTTGTTTCGATAAAATGTTTATTTTTTAGGAAAGTTAAGAATATTTTTTCTTTAAATTTTCAGAATCGTTAGGTGAAATTGCGAACTATAATCATCTAAAAAATTGGGAGGAAAATATTCATAAATTTACCATGAAATTTACGTAGTATCAAAGGAAATTTGGCAACGCCTGAAGGTTCATACGGCGTTTTCCCTTAGCACGGCAGTCTAGGTATCATATTCAGTGCACTATTTATAAGTAGGAAGAACCTCAATCTTAGAAACATGATAACATTCGTCTGCAAATAGTTTTATGACTGCAATTACGTTAGCAAGGCAATTAAACCGCCGCGCCGTCGGGTGCTACCGAACTCGTTATAATTTTGGACTCCGGAAAAATTCGATGACCCAAGTTCCCGAGACTAACCCTAGATGCGTGTTTTTTCGATGTCATGACCTCTCTTCCGCAGTAATTCGGCTGCCCATAATTATTTTATGATAAATTATAAAATTTGCCCTAAGTCAAGGACAATCGGTGAAACCTCTTACGATATATTTCCAAAAAAACTCTTTTAAATGCTATCTTCTTTATTCTTCAATGATTCTCGATTGACAATACTTGCCTATCTACCATAGAAAGCTTGTTCCAAACTCACACTGAAAATAAAGTCAAACACGTTATGAGTAATTACCAAATTCACGCTCCCTCTCTTCTTATTTCATCTGTTTCTTTTTTTCCGTTTTATCTTTTCCCTCTTCCTCCTTTTTTTCGAGTGAACGATAGGGGATGGGGGGAGCACACCCCTACGTCTCCCCCCCCCCCCTCTTGGATCTGCTTGTGATATAGAGTATGATATGTGTACTATATTCCGTTCCTGCATTACGCTTATTTTTCTACCTCTGCGTTAAAGTCTCCGTTGGAAATGAATGACTTTATGATTGTCACGATGTAAGATTCAATGTCCCAGTAGGCATTTTCTGGACATTGTTTTCCTTTCAGAACGAAGTGGGCCTGGCACTATTCTCACATCCAGTTTTTAAGGGAATTTGGTATTGATTCTTTCCGTACAAATATGTGTGCGCATCCGTTTTTACTAATCCATAAAGTTTTTTTTTTTTTTTTTTTTTTTTTTTTTTTTTTTTTTTTAATTATGTCTTATTTTTTGTGTGTTCACAGCTCCAGTTCGGTATCGTATGCATGTACGCTCTCTTCTTCGTCGTCCGAAACTGCGTGCAGTCCCAGGTGCTCATCTACTACGCCATGTTCCAAGCCATAACGTTCAGCATACTCTTCGCCGACTTCTACAGGAAAGCTTACCTCAAGAAGAAGCAGTGATCGCCCGCAGCCAAACACTTTTTCACAAAGCTATCCTAGACTGTTCGACTTTTCGTTTTATGAAAGGTCAGCTCCGCAGCCTAGTACTATAAGGCTGACGGAAAACCACGGCACATAATCAAAAGGTGCAAGCATCAGACGTTTCCAATATCAAACGTCGAACTTTTGTTCTCTGTGCTAGTCGTTGACCGCCGCTCTACCAGGAGTCGGTAAATGGGGCTCGAACCCCGATTTTCAGCTCAAGCTGGTGCTCGCACCTTTTTTTCGGAGATGCCGCGAAACAAAGAAGTTCCATCGGATGGAACTTTTTCGGGGCTGAATCAAGTTCGGCTTTCTTCCACATGTTTTCACACAACTGTACCTGAATTGACGGGAAGATTACTTCTACCTCGACGTCGTTCCCTCAAAAGCAAGTGTTGCACGGAGGGACTCAAAACGCCTTTGTACATTGCGTTGCATGGCAAAAAGAGCTTTATAAGGAGCCGACTTAACCGTATGTTACATTTAGTGAAGTTTTCTAAGGCACATAATTGTACTACTGATCAAACTTAAACATTTTGTCTGAGTTTACCGAGCTTAAAGTGACCCACAGAAATACAATCATCACATACTGTTTTAATACTTCCAAATCAAATTTGTTACCACATTCCAGCCAATATTTCCTGTTGGAGTCTCTACCCAGTGTTGTAAATGACTAAGTTGGCATCGACGATTTTGATTCAGCCCCAAAACGAGCAATCCTGAGAAGGGCTTTAACTAAAAATTTAGCGATTAAACACTAGTTAGTGTAGTCCTGAGTCACATGCCCTTTTAATTTACAGGGTCTTGCTCATACTCTGTAATAAAAAGCCACAAATTCGGAACATTTTGGCGCTCAGTGCAAGAGGCATTCAAAAATTGTGTACGAATGTTTTTTGTGCTTCGCAATGTGGGGCTCAATACTTACTAAAATAACATATCTTGCAGCCTTCTCACTGCTCAACTTAACTCCTCACTGTGCCAACCCAAGCCGATATTAGTACCTGTTATATAAGTATTAGTGGATTCAGTTACCCTTAACGATTAAGTGGGTGTGTCTATATTTTTCTCATGCCTCTACAAAGAAGTTTATGAAATTGACTTTGGGCTAATTCTGCGACTGGAGTTATTTTATCTCGTCGAAAATACATACACCGCTCCAGGGAACTTTTGAAAACCAACATTTGTACCTGGAGTCCAGGAAAAAAAAGAAATAATCAGGAGAGCAAGTAATATCGATCAAGGAAGTTATTAGGTACTTAATGCGATTGTACATCCACCAGACAATTTTGAAATAATCGTGTTGTAGTTTACTCGCTAAATTATCAAAGTTCACTCATAATATGACTTGCAGAGGCTGAAAGAGAAAAATAGACTAATAACCTTAAAATAAAAAACACCGAAAACCATGAAGTCAAAGCATACTTTCTTCTTCTCGGTGGAAAATAACTGTCGGTGTCGCGTGAAATATAACCTCTTAAACGTATTTACGCATGATAATTATAAGCTTCTGAATCCCATTCATTGTGAGAAAATACTGCATCACCACTTGGGTAACTCGCTTGTTTCTTCAAAAAAGACTGCTTAGAGCTTCTTAATTGACTGATTCTCAATTCTCTCCTAGTTAAATTTTGAGAAATGAGGGACTGAAGGGACATTTTCAGCCGTTAGAGAACTTCATTAAAGACAGCCCGATTTGTACAGTTTTTCCTCTTTTATAAGTTTTATGAATTAAGGAACTCATATTAGATTTTTATTTTTACTTCTTGGGGTCATTCATATTCATTGTTTTTTTTCTTCTTCTTTTCTCTCAATTTTTGAACCATGCAGACTCCTTGTTTACCTAAATTTTACTTGGATTACCAGAACCTTTGTTTGTAAAAACACGGGCGTGAGTGTTGAGGTGTGAGTGATCTTCTAAATGACTGACAGAATGAGTGTATTTTTTGTGTTTAATCCCGTGAGTATTTAGGTAGCTATTTATTTTGTAGATATTAATTTATTTATTTTCAGATAATTTTGCTAGGTGTACAGGCATTTTGTAAGAGTTGAAAGTTTTCCCATGAAAACTGTTGAACAATATCGCAATAGTGATTTTTGATAATTTAGAAAGAGTCTCGAAAATTTCAACCGGCGGATGAGCACTGTTCTTGCATTTGTGAAAGTTCGTTCCAAACTGAAATCTGCCGAAACTTTGTGGGATACAGGGAGAAACTGCTAAAATATTTACTAAAAAAGGCTAACTAAATGTGCGAGCTTTTGAAACGTTGAAAAATGGATGTAAAAGAAGTGAGCACAAAGTTGACTTGATTTTTCAAGTGTCTACATTCCCACATCTTTAGCCAAAGTTTTTTGGATTTTTCTTCTCGATAAATTTATGGCATCAGTTATTTACCAAAAAAAATTGAACACTACCATTTGCTTTCTATAAATGTAGTTGTTAACGTCCTTATAGATGTTGCAATAGTTGTTGAGGAGAGAACGGAAAGTGTTAATGAAGTATGTGTATGGTGACTTGTTTAATTGTTTCATTTTAATTTTTATCCTTGAATTCACTAGAATTAATTTTTCAATAGAATAAGAATAGAAGCGTATGTAATAACATAGGAGAATGATATTTTTGTGATTATTGTCTTGCCGGTTTTGAAAAAAATAAACGAATGCCCTTCTAGTAATTTGATTTTTCTTATTTAGTTTCAAAGTTAATTTGCTACGAATGCAATCAGTATTTCCGTCTTGTAGAACACTTACGGCGGGCCTAGTAGAACGCTAGAATAAAGAAAATCAATTTAAAAAAAAAAAAAAAAAAAAAAAAAAGAGGCATCTGGAATAAATAAACCGTCTTGTTGATGCTTTCATTGACGGGCGCGACGTTCAAGATAACGCCTGAATGCAACAATTCGTGCTTCATGTAAGTGCAGGTTGCCTACCGCCAAAATGAAGGCGTTTAAAGCCTCCTCGCGTTTGCAGAGACGCGTCCTCCTACGCACAAACTAGTGCTCTTAAATTGGAATTCGGTAATCCTTTAATTGCTCGGCCTTTTCTGGACATAATTTCTGGAAAATTTCAAGATCTAATCCACGATGTTTTTTAAACACATGGTAACCTTCAAAAATCGTCAGGCTGACGATTTTTGAAAGGCAACATTCAACAATTCAACAGAGCCTCTTTTAAGCTCTTAGTTTGCGCGTGAGATGGGCTTAAAGTTTGAGATGTACTTAGAAGTTGATTACGAAAAACTAAGGTTTTTCCATTATTTACTTCTCAGCCTTTCACATTATATTTTGGCAATTTTTTTTTTTTTTTTTTTTTTTTTTTTTTTTTTTTTTTTTTTTTTTTTTTAAAAAAAAAGAAGGAGAACAGCTTCAATTCGTCAGTGTCAGTTTTGTGTCCTGCATGCTCTAAAAAGGAAAATTGTCCTTGAACTTGATGGAGAGAGGGAATCACCGTTCAACAACCGGAGCATGGAAGCCGAAAGCGCCTTCTTTTCCTGTACATGCAACACGCACATCCATCGAGCGCGAATAGTTGCATTCAACTGTTGGCATTGCAACTTTCGAATCATCAAAAGAACAACTGAAGAAAGCATCAATGCGCAATGTCGATGTGAATACGTCGAAATTATTTGCAACTCCAAGAAAGTTTTCTACAAGTGCAAAGTGAATTGGACACTGATGTAATAATGAAAAATCAAGCCGTATAATCTGGAGATTTAAAATTGATTGTTACCTACTATTCCGGAAAGATGAAGCACAAGTGAAAATATTAAAATAATGGACCACTAGACATGGTACGAATTTAAGCATTCTGATACATGTTTTTTAATCAAAATTTTACGGAGAACACGATTTGCGCAACGAAAATTACTGATACTAACTCCTGACGAAGATATTATCCTTTTTATTTCACATTGGTTACGCGGATTTTGAACTGCCCGGTCACAAGAAACTCAAAGCTCTACGTGAGTCAAATCGCGCTCTACAACAGTTTCAGCAAGCCTCTCAATCGAGCACTGTTCATTTGCCACCATATGTTGTTCAAATTATAAGCAATTTGCTATAGCTGAGCCACAGCGTCAAAATTGTGGTTGCCAGATTTTCATATCGCAGAGACTGTCACGATAATATTCAACGCGCGATGTGAATCACGTAGAGCATTGAGTTTTATTGAGCGGGTGGTTTGAATTCACGCATCAGGAATCATTAAATATCTTCGTAAGGAGTTGATTTCGGTAATTTTCGTTGCACGAATCGTGTTCTGCGTGAAATTTTAGTCAAGAAACATGTATCAGATTGCTTTAATTCGTACCTTGTCTAGTGGTCCATTGGTGCAATATTTGATCAAAGCACTTGATTAGTTGAACGCCAATATATCGTAATTACATCGGGAATTCAATGCGCCGTCCTTTCCTGGAACAAGGAGTCAGTGTGGACTATATTTGGCAGAGAGGAACCAAGTCACATTTAGAGGGGGGGGGGGTTAGAA